GGACTAACATCTCTGAGAAGACTGTCATGGCCTCTGGCCAAGGAAGAGCTATGACTCCCTCTCTGCGTGGCTCCTGGGCAGCTGGGGAGGGTGGGCAGGGAACAGCGGGTCTGCGAACCATGGTCCCAAGGTGCTGACAGAATATTTGCCAACCACAGAACTTGACCCTGGGCCGGGCACAGGGAGGCAGGAGGTTGGTCAAAGACCAAAGTGACAACTGTGTGCTTTAGAGCACAAGGACACAGCCCGTGCTGCACCTGGTACCTGTCACACTCTTTGAATTGTCCCCATCCACTCTCAGAGTTGGTCCCATCTTGTTGCCAGGAGTTAACGCACAAAGGAAGCTCGCATCCAGCTGAAAGATCCCTGGGTCTCAACTTAAAGGTGAAGGGAGTGGGTTACATGATGTCATGGGTTGGTTTCCAAGGGAGGCGTTCTGGTTAGTTTCTCCGTTAGCAATTGCTCAGCTGGACAAAGAACAGGAGAAAGACTGAGACAAAACGCGGGCCCTCTCCTCCTCCCACTCCTTGCAGGAGGCTCTGGACTGCTCTCCATACTGCAATCTCTGGTACCGAGGAGCTATAAATCACGCAGTGGGCAGCACATGGGATGCTGGGAGGCAAGCTGTGTGTGCACGCACGGCAGGGAGTGTGGGGAAGAGGAACGGTTTTGGAAGACAGAAAGGAAGGAGAATGAATGCACATCCTTCCTTTAAGCATTTTTGTTGTTGTTGCTGACTTGCCCCACTCTCCCCTCTCCCAGAGGGGTCACATCTGCCTGGAAATGTCATCACCACGATCCAATCTCGGGGCTGCCTGCCCAGGTACAGGGAAGGCCATGCAGGCAGGCAGGCCTCCGGAATGAGACAGCACAGAGGCCTGCGATCTGGCTCCTAACTGTACAGCCGCAGTGCTTGCCCTCATCCCCACAGCCACATGTTTAGCAGCAGCTCCCGGGATGAAGACAGGAAGGAATCACAATGGGGTGTGAGTGATTGAGTTCTCACTGAATTCTGAAGGCTGGAATCTTGTAGACGGATAGAGACTTGGGCTTTGCCACTCTCCTGCCTCTAATCCCTCAAAGCACATACCAAAAAGCAGAAAGGCACCAGAAGCAGTCATCAAAGGAGAGCAAGATGGCCCCTTTTTCAGAAGGAAACCTCCAGGTCACCTGCTACTTAACCTCACAAAGTGCTGCCAGCAGAGATGGACAATAAGCCAAAATCTTCTTAGGGCCTAAGGGGAAAAAAATTCTGCTGGACCCTCCAAGTCTCCCCTTGGCATCACCAAGGTCAAATCCATCTCCTCTGCAACTTTCTTTCCCCTTCCCTTTAGGGTGCCTGATTGTGTTTCAGATCAAGCTGTTCATCCTGGGGACAGGTCAGGTTTTCACACGTGAGAGTAGAGTTAGCAGGTGGCCTAGAGAGGAGGAGCTGGGAATGCTGTGAAAGGCAGGATAGGAAGGATTTCCTTGAGAGCTGAGACCAAGTTGATTTAAGAGGCGGAAAAGAGGGAGTCCAGTTAACCCAGTGGTTTTCTCATCACCAGTCACTAGGTGGAGAAGGACCTAGAGGGGATCCACGTGGGGAGGGCAGGCGTGGAGGCCCCATGTCACCCCACTGCGTGACATAGCTGGATTTGATGCCTTGCAGAGACAGCGACCTGCGCAGTGTTTGTCCTCATCAGCAGAAGGTGTGGGGTAGGGAGGAGCCGAGATTCCAAGCACAAGACTTCACCTAACTTCCTTGGTCCCTGGATTTTTCTTCCAACTCTGCCCAGCCCAGGCAAAGGAGGGTGAAGTTAAGAAAGAAGAAACAAGCCTGGGAAAAGGCCAAGATAACCGGGACAAGATGGAGCTGATGCCCAAGGTCATCAGGGCAGAAGAGGGCAGAGAGTACTTGCAGGAAGTTTCCTCAGTAATAATGACATCTAACAGTCACTTAGCATTTGTGATTGATTTTAAAAGGTTCTCAAAAACTTTAACTTATTTTATCTTTGCAACCATCTTGGGAAAGTACTACAGTCCTATTTTATAAAACAGGAAGTAAAGCCAGTCATCTTCCATGGCTGTGGCATTAGAGGTGGAATCAGGACTTGAATCTGGTTTTGCAATATTTTCTTCATACCCTAGACTAGGGGTGATGAACCTATGCTGCAGTGGGCTGTTTGATAACACAGAAAGCTCTAACATGTTTGCCATCACTGTTCTAGTCCTTCAGCTGCAGAAAGAAAATGCCAGGCCACCCTGTTCCTTGCACATATACCTACAGGCAGATTACTACCATCACATAAGCAGCACAGGCCTGCTGGGTATGGTGGCACATGCCTGCAATTCCAGTACTTGGGAGGTTGAGGCAGGAGGCCTACATAGTGGGCTACATAGTGAGTTTGAGGCCAGCCTGCACTATCTAATGAGACCCTGTCTCAAAAAAGCAAAACAAGACAAAACAAACAACAAAAAAGAAGTACAGGGTTGAATCCTTCTGGGCCTTCATATTTTCATGAATGGATAGCTGGCACAGAGCATATTGACATGATGGGACCAAAAGTCACTTTCACCTCCTAAGGTCTTGCTAAGAAGGCTGGCCTCTGACTAGACTGCTAAGGTCACCATGAAGACAGCATTACAGGAGAAAACATCAAGAAGTGAGAACTGAGGAAGCCTCACACACACCTCTTCCATGCTGCCTGCCCAGCAGAGGTGGGAGCATCTGGCCTCTCCACTTGGGACTTTGTAAAGCTTTAGTTTACAGCAGAGTCACTCTGTTTGTAAAAATTCTGAAAAGACCCAGGCCTACACACACAGCCACTTGTTAGCCAGCTGTTCTGAAGCACTGAAGTCTAGGTTTGTTCTCACTGGTGTCCCCTTGCCCAGGGGCATTTGGATTCTTTGGTAGACAAGACACATCTGCCAAACCAGGCCCGCTAAAGGGTAGCCAAGGCTCTCTGGTAAGCAGTCTAGGGCTGATCACAAACATTCTCATGCTGTGAACTCTTGAACTTGCCCCTTTAATCCGTCTCCGCCCATGTCCTGGAGGCTCATTAGACCAGGCTGCCATACTGCAGGCTGGCTGGGAAAACCTTCACATCTTCTGCTGTCCCGGGCATACACGCTCTTTCGTTTCCAGCTTGACCACTATCTCCTCCACAATCTTACTGATTTTCCCTCCTTTGCTTTCGCTTTGCTGTATAATTCATGTGCCTTCCCATCCTTCTTCTCTAATTCTACTCATGCTAATTAATTGTGAGCATAGTTCATTTTTCCCTAATAGATTATCAACTCCTTAGAGACAGATGCTATCTTGAATTCATCTCTGTGGTTCCCCCCTCTCCTTTCATGGCTGGCTGGTGGTTTAAATTTAAACTTTGTAGGAGTATAATACATAATTGCTAAAATGCAATTCACCTTGGTTCCCTAAAAAATAGGCTATGTTTCAAAAATCCCCACACAGGACAATCCCACTGTCCATTTTGTCCTTTGGCAAATCTTATTGCAGCTGGGACCTCTCTCCCCTCACCTGTATCACTGTGGATCTACCCAGTACAGGTTAAAAATAAAATAAAAATTAAATTAAATTTTTAAAAAGGTTAAAATTATACAATCAAAAGCAAGGAGTCGCTGCTATTGCCAGTCCCCCCAAAAAGTCAAGGCAGAAGATAAAAGATGAAGGAAGAAGAGGGAGCTTCCTGGAAAGATCGGGGTGATCCTAAGACCAGAGTGGACACCAGAGAATATGATTCCAGAGAAAGGACAGCCTATTCCTGTTCAGAACAGAAAACCTAGTCCTGCTGAGGGGGAGGTCGTTATGTTCCAGAGGGCCCTAAGGCTCATGTCCCAAGGTCAGCCAAGAACCCCAGGGCTGAGAGGGTGGGGGAGGAGGCAGAAGAGGACCTCCATGAACCTCAGGCAAGTCCCTAAGAGATGAGGGAAGGCTGCTCCAAGAAGAGTTTATGGAAAGGCTGTGATGTCCCTCCAAGGACAGCAGCAATCAGCGATGGGGGGTCAGGTCCAGAGAGCACTGCTGAGGGCTGCCAGGTGAAGGCAGCTCCATCACACACTGCACACTGCCTTAGAACTCAAGTTTGCTTTATTGGCCCAGGGTTAAAGCCCTGCATATAGTTACCTTGAATTAAGTTCCAGGGAGATCACAGTTACAAGGATTGAAGTGGGGGAGAAAGAAAGTGAGAGAGAAAGAGACAGAGAGAGAGAGAGAGAGAGGAGACAGAGAGAGAGAGAGAGAGAGAGAGAGAGAGAGAGAGAGAGAGAGAGAGAGAGAGAGAGACTCAAGAATTAAATCTCAGCCAGCAGAGGGAGAAGAGGCCATTTCTGTTAGAGATGTAAGATTTTTTTTTTTTTTTTTGAGAGCGAGAGAGAGAGAAACAGACAGACAGAGACAGAGAGAGTTGGGGATCGAAACAGAAAGAGAGGCAGAGACAGATAATTACAAACTTGCTAGCTGTGGATCTAATCCCAGCATAGGAACCAGGTTCCATGCAGAAACCTTCCTTGCTGAGGCAGTGCAGGGAGGATGCTAACTGCTCACAATTTCCCACAGAGCCACTCTTTACTTCCAGGACCCCTGAGCTGACAAAGAAAATTCCCCTCTCTGGGCCCAGGCAGGAGTCTGGGCACACAGGAGACCCTCACACTTGCAAGGCTGTCCAGCCCTTCAGACACTCCCTGGCCCAGACTTTCTCCTACTTTGTTTTTGGGCACAGGTTATTCCAGACAGGAGCAGAGAGCAGGCGCCACCCTTCCCCAGCACACGTCCAGCACCTCCCTGCCTCTCAGAAGAGAGGAAGTGAGAGATGTTCAGGGCAAAGCTGCCAGAGCCTGTGCCCTCTTCCAGGGAGGAGAAGCAGCCTCCCCAGGCCAGGCAAACGCATTTCCATCACCACCACACCAGGCTCCCTGACACACACACAGGTATGCGGGATGGGGAAGGGTGTGGACCCAGTGACTGTGAGCTCGCTCCTCTCACCCCTGTGCCCCTGTGGTACCTGCCAATGCCTTGATCCGGGACCTTTCAAAGAGTCTGGCTGAGCTGTTGTCATTATCCAGCTCGTCGTCAGGGGCATCCCACCGGGCATTGATCCGGCTGTATGGTGGCTGGTTGCCCACGTTTTCAAATTCCGTGGCCGATGTCATGTCAGCAGGCTCTTCTCAGCAGCTACTACGCCTGCCTCAGTCTTCATGGAAGGGTCCCTGGGGACAGCAACACAGCCAGAGGGTTAGCTCCCCAGCCCCTCGTACTTTTTCTCAGGGGAAACTTAGTTGGGCCATCCAGCAGGAGCAAATCCTGGTGGGAGGGGCAAGCTGTGTTACTTGCCGGAGCATGCTTCTGACCCAGGGTCTCTGGATCTGGGTTATAAAATATTGCAGCAGCAGCAGCAACAATAACAGCGTGGTGGCAGGGATGGAGACTGAGCGTTGCATGCAGCAAGGGTCAGGACGGCCAGCAGGTGGAGACATCAGTCGCTGTGAGCCTGTTTCCTCCAAACCCGGTGCCACCGCCCCAGGGAGCATTGGAGCTGCCAGAGCAGCAGCTCTTAATCCTGGGCAGCAGGAGCAAGGCTGGTGGGGAAGAAGCTGGAAGAGCAGTCCCACCCTGTGGACTGAGGCCAGGAGCCAGACTGGGAGACCCAGGCAGGCAAGGGATGAGCAAAACCTGAAAGTCACCTGAGTCCAAGTCAAACAGGGGAGGGGTGTTGGTTGGGGGCAAATTAAGCAGCCACTGGTGCCACAACCCCTGGTCCAGGGCTCACTAAAGCCACCTAAGAGCCCTGAATTCCTCGACAGCAGCCAACATCCAGAAACTGAGCTGTTCTTTTTGCTCTCTTTGAGTGTGCCTGGGTGCCAGGACAAGATCTGTTGAATCCCCAGCCTGACCAAGCAACCCAGAAGAGCCTGTGACCCATCAGGGTGATCAGTATGAAATGCTGGGTGAGGAGTGAGTGGTGAAGGAATCCCACAGATAGTAGGACTTACGCCACGTGTCTATGCAGTGCACATAGGCACTCCTAGTTATTTTCTCATTGCTGGGACATAACACTCAACATCCACCACTTTGAGGAGGAAAGATTTATTTTGGCCATTTGTAGAGCATTCATTCCATAGTTGGCTGGCTCCAAGGCAAGGTAGCATGGCAGAGAAGATCACAGAGGAGAACAGCTCATGGCATGGCAAGCAGGATGCACAGGGCAATTAAGGGAAGAAGGGAGACACACCCTTTTAGGCCACACCCCAGTGCCCATCTCCTCCAATCAGTCTCCACTTCTCAATGTCACATTTAGCTACAAATTCATCAGTGGACTAATCCACAGGTGAAGATCATGCTCCCATGATCCAGTTGCCTTTCACTTATGAGCAGAGGAGGCTTTGGGGGGACATCTAGACATAAACCATAACATTCTGCCACTGGACCGTGAAAGACTCATGCCCATCCCCATATGCAAAATACACCTAGTCTATCTCTAGAGTTGCCAAATTCCTAACAGTTTCAGCATTGCCAAAATGTCCAAGTCCAAAGTCTCCACTGAGATTTAAGGCAAACTCTTGGCTGTGAGTCCCTATCAAAATGAAAAAGTTAAACATTTCCAACATACAATGGCACAAGGTAAACACTCCTTTTCCAAAAAGTAGAAATAGAGGAATAGAAAGGAATGGGACTAAAACAAGACTGAAACCCAGCAGGGCAAACAATAAATCCCATAGTTCTATATCTAGCACGTGGACAATCTGTGGCAAGATGTGAATGCCAAAGGGTTTAGGTGCCCCTTCCCCTGTGGCACTGCTGGTTGTTACAGCCCTTTAGGCCTCTCCTCTAGACTGGCTTTGCTCATTCTTTGTACTTTTCCTCAGACAATCCATGTTGCTGGCTTCTCCAGCATGCTGGGGTCTCCCCTACATTTTCAGCTTCCTACTCACAGCCTCACACATTTCTCTCTCAGGGGTGCACTGCCTGGCCTCCCAGGCCTTCTTCTGAAATCTGGGTGGAAGCCTCCCTTACCCCACAATTCTTGCACTCTTTTTGAGTGTAGAATGAACACCATGTGGATGTCTCCTGCCAACTGGAGCAGTAGTTGAGCCCTTTTACATCTCACTGATGGTTGCAAGGACCTGAGTGCCAAAGTGGCTGAACATGGTGAACTGAATCCTGGGAAACCAATTTCCATTCCCTAGGCTCTTGCTTTTCTGTGTTTTTCAAAGCAGAATCTTTTACCTTTGTAATTTTGGGCCTACAAAGCTTTGCTGGTTCCTCATGTTCCTTCAAGGCATTTTTCTATTGTCCTGGTCCAAAGTACCTGGCTTCTTTCTAATGCTAATCTTTTCAGCTACCAAGGTCTCCTCTGCTCCATTTTTACAGGTCTCAACTTTATTTTATTTTATTTTCAACTTTACTAATGTTCCCCTTGGGCCAAACTCAAAACTTTTTAAGTCATTCTGCTGGGTTCTTTGCTCTTAATTCACAATATAGAGCTAGATAAAAGCCCCTAACAATAGTATCCAAGCTGTAGCATGAATGTTTGGCTGCCTTGAAGTTTTCTCCTCTAGATTAATTAGTCTCTTACCCTCAATCTGTCTTCCACAAAGTCTCTGGACACTGAACAAAATCCAGACAAATTTTCAGTCAGAGCATAATACACATGGCCTGCAGTCCAACAGCCAATGGCGTCTTTCTCAAGTGAAACCTTTTGAGCCTGGTCCTTTCTGGTTATATTGCAGTTAACTTTATGGTCTGAGCTCCAACAAGAATTTTCCACCACACTTGGCTTACAACATTCTAGGGTTGCTTCTTCAGTGGCCATTTCCAAACCTTTCCAAACTCCTCCCACACATCAGTTCCAAAGCCTTCTAAACCACGTGGTCAGGTGCAACCTCATAGCAACGACCTCACTTCTAGAGCACCAAAATCTTACTTTCTCATCATTAGGACATAATACTTGACACCTCCAACTCTAAGGCAGAAAGATTTATTTTAGCTTACAGTTTGTAGAAGTTTCAGTCCTTACTCAGTTGGTGCCAAGGCAGGGTGGCTTGATAGAGGAATATGGGGGCCAGGAAGTAGAGAGAGAGATCAGGGAAGCCACGCCCCCAGTGCCCCACTTCCTCCTAATGGGCTTCACTTCCCAGCATCACATTTAGCTATAAACTCAGTGGATTAATCCACAGATAAGTATTATGCACAATCCATCCAATCATCTTCCCAAAATCCCATCTGTGAGCACAGGTGGCTTTGGAGAGCCATCTGGATGTGAACCAGAACAGGTGTCAAGCACTCAGTCACCCAGCACTTCATTTGTTCATGCAGTTACAGTGCTACATCAGTTTACAGACTGAATTCTCTCCACAATTCTGATCACAAACTGAACTAGATGAGAGCGCTCGCTTTGGCAGCACACACACTAAAGTTGAACTGGACAAGAACCAAATCACATTTCCCGATAAGATCAACACTGAACCTGACCACTGAATTTGATTTTGTTATCCAACTCATTTCACAATCAGAAGAATCATGGCCAGAATCAAGTTTGTGAACTGAGGTGTCACTGTGCAGTCAATTTTTATCAAGTTCCAATATGGTGGCCAGCACTGTGCCAGGCAAGTATGAGTAAGATGAGATGGGCCGTGTCTTTACAGAGCTTATACTCTTCCAGAAGGGGAGAGACAATTAAATGAACAATTGCAGTCAGGTGCATTGTGTGCCATGCCTGAGAGAGAGCAAGATGAGGTGGGGCTGGGTGTCTGGGGCAGGGAAATTTTGGATGATTGCTAAAGAGAAGTCTGAAGCTGTCTGTGAAGGAACTGGAAGAATTGGACAAGAATCCAAATAAATAAATAAAAAGCAGGTGCAAAGTTCTGGAGGTGATAAGGCCACTCCAAGATTGAGGGACCTTAGGAATGAACTGGAGGGTGAGGATGGGCCCGGAAAGAAAGTGATCCAGGAGGCTGCGGGGACTGGCTTGGTCTTGGATGCACTGAGTCTTTGGAAAGTGCCAAGCTTTCCTCCTCTGTATCTGCCCTTCAGACTTTTCCCTGCAAGCTTACAGGACTCACAGGTCAAGTCTGTAGGACAGAACCTAGGCCTCAGAACCTTCATCTTCAAGAGAGTAAAGGATGGTGGTGCTGGAGGCTGGGGTAGGGGCAGACAATGTACTGACAATTAGTCAAGGGCCTGACTGTAAAGACAACATGGAGCACCCTCACACATCCACTCGACCAGCACAAGCTCACATACATGCTCGTGCGCACACACATGCAGAAGAGACTCTGCTCACCCGCTGAGTGTATCTGCTGTGATGCAGCTATTCCTGTTCAGACTCAGTCATTCCAGACTTTTCCTGCCCCAGCCTGATTAATCAAACCCTCCACATCCCTTTGAGTTAAGACAGCAGCCAGAATATCCACCCTCATTGCACAGAGGAGAAACCCAGGCCTACCACAAAAAGAGGCCTCCCTGAGGTGATGTAGGGAATAACTGCTTCAGTTTAGGCCAAAGCCAAACTAGTCCAGTTTATTTCCCTCAACCGATGTGTTTTAGGACAACATGTGGGACAGTACAAGGCCCATGAGGACAGAGGACACTCCCCAGCTGCCAGGCAGGGTAAAGTAGTTTGCCATTTGGAATAAGAGAAAGTATAAGGTGGAAAAAAGTCAGCATCCAAAACACAGCACCAGCAGGCTAGGCCTGGGCCCAAGGCCACCCCTGTCTCTGTGCACAGCCTGTCCTCATCCAAGGCTGCTGCTTCCAGTCTTGAGATTTCCCACTGGCTGGACAACACAGCTGGGAAGGACTCTCCTTTCTTCATTCCTTCCCTTAAGGGAACTGCCACTGGCTTGGATGACTGAGCAAGAGAGGGACAGACAGGCTCACCACCTCCTGCAGGGCCACAAGCCTGTCCGGCAGCCTCTGAGAACTGAGCTGCAGACAGAGAAGGCACAGTGAGATCAGGCCCTGAGCACAGGAGGTAACCAGACCCTGCCTCTCTCTCTTCATCCTGGGCTATTTTTAAGAGTGGCCAAGTGAGGCCCAGGCTCTGGGGCCAGGGAGTGAGATTACTTAGCTATGGCTCCGTAAATAAGTCTGCCCCAGAAAGATGAGCCTGGGAGAGCAGACCAGCAGACCCAGTGTTCAAGGCAAGATTGATGGCCCTGGGTGCAGGAGAGCAGCAACTCGACTGCAATTCATCCTGTTTTAAAACACC